TACGGAGTTTAAAAAAATGTTGTTACAGAATAAAAAAAAAATTAGCATGGGAACAGTTGACAAAGTCCAGAATGACAATAAATACTTAAGTACCAGTCCTTGCCTGCAGGTCCCAGAGCATGAGGCCTTGCTGCTTCCACAGTCTGGCCTGCATCCAGGACTCACTCTGACGCTGCTCGGGGAATCAGCCCATTCGTTCCACCACTGGGCTCGGCCTTTTTGCTCTGCTGTCAAGTACTCAAGATTGTTAACAGAATAGAGGACTTAGACTTGACTGCTATGTTCGGGCTTGTCAAAAACTCTAGAATCTAGGAACTCTGGATCAAGCTGGGTAGAGGTAATTTAGATAAAGTGTTTATAATTAACTGTTTCAGTCAGATACTTGTTAGTGTACGCTGGTTTGCAATGTAGATTGAATCCAGCAGCATGAGTTCAATTCCCACAGTGGCTGAGATCACCATGAAGGTCATGCCTTTTTAATATTGCCCCTGGACTGAGGTGGAGGTGACCCTAAGGTTAAACTCCCTCTGAAATGAGAGAGCAGCCCAAAGGTCCTCTGGTACTAAGGCGACTATTAGTGAATGTATTCAATGGAGTATCCAGGTAGATGTTGCCGTTATATGCAGACAAACACTGAATACATCGTTGAATGTGATTGAGAAGTGTTCCTGTCAGCCTAGCCTGATTGGCTTGATTTATTTACTTCCCATTTGTTTCTTTGCTATTCTATTAGCCATCTCTGCAATTAGTTCACTGCAAGCGACTCTGAATTTTTCTTATCATTTTAAATACCTGCACATTAAGGAGCATGGTCAATGTGAAGAAGCTTTTGCTTGAGTGAGAAGCTGCGTGAGCATTTCTGGGAATTTGGTTCAAGTGGTAAATTCAGTGTACCTGGGGTGGGGGCGGGGTGTGGAAGTCTATGGGAGTGTGCTTTAAGTAGGGTAGATACTCCACGGAGTACAGTCTCCTGAGCAAGGGGTGAGCTGGAGAGAGTGAAAGACCTGGATTGAGGGGTTTACCTGTAATGACAAAAGCAGCAGAGTGATATCACAAACCACAAGTTGAAATGAGTGCAGGGAAGGAAGATGAGTGATGAATAAGATTGGTGAGGATTTGTATTCTTCAAAACAAAACTAAGGCATTTAATTTGTGATAAGGTTTGTAGTTTTTTTTTTCTCCTTTCCCTAAAATAGTTTGTTACATATAAGATTAACACTGAAGTTAAAAAATTACAGTTAAGTGTGAAGTGATGGGATACAGTGTACTTATTTCATAACAAATAAAATACCACAGCAAAGGCAGGATGGGTGATGTGTTGAGGCTGTAGCATGTGGGCACTGTTTGACATCAAAGCCATCCAGGGCAAACGCATCTGCAGTAAACGTTTTGCAGCGTGAGGAACTTCAGATCTAATTTGAGGAGTTAGAGTCTGAGCTGCAGACATTGCACCATATCAGGCAAGGGGAAAATTACCTAGACACTTGGCTCTAGGAGGTGGTCATATTCCCCCGGACTATGTAATTCAAAATCAGTTTGGTGATCAGGGACAGAAGGCTCTGCCTGTACGTGAAGCATGTATGAAGATCTAAGGGGGCAGCTTTCAAGGAGCTTCAGCCTTTACAGTTGTCCGACAGTCACGAGGTTCTTGCAAGCTGTGTCCTGTTCCATGCAGCCATGAGCGAGCGTCCCAAAGACTGTGTTGCCCTTCCAGTTCCAGGGTAAAGGATATCTCCTCAGGGCTGGTGAGGAATGTCGAGTTTCAGGGAGGGATCCATCATTATGTACCAACAATATTGATAGAACTAAAAAGGAAATGATGCTGAAAGGATTTGAACAATTAAGACTTACACTAAAAAGCAGAACTTCTGAGTTAATAATCCTGAAATTACGATCTGAACCATGGGAAAACTGGCATGGAATAAATAATTTGAGAAGTTAAATGCGTGGCTCAAGAATTGGTCTGGGAATGAATGAATTTCAATTTACAAGTTCTGGCACAGGTATGAGGGTGAAAGGGAACTGTTCTGATGGAGCAGACTTCACTTAAACCGTGCTGGGACCAGTGGCCTACAAACTGAATAGCTTGGGCTGTAGACAGGGCTTCAAACTAAATAGCAGATGCTTAGGCTTACAAAGCAAAATGACATACATGGTCACACTGCAGGGCAGCTACGTAGTCAATGATACCTAGTATGGGGCAGGAAGGAATAGAGTGTACAAATATAACAAAATGCAATAAATAGGAACAAAGGGGGAAAAAATGGTATGAAGACAAACTTAATGGCTCTTCGCTCAAATGAACTCAGTATTTTGATTGAAATGAGTGAATTAACAGCAGAGATAGTGTTTAATGTGTTTGATCTCGTAACCTTTACGGAAACAAGCTGAAGAAGGGAACAAAGCTGGGAACTAAATGTTCAGGGTAATGTGGCTTTTCAAAAGGATAGACAGGAAGAAAAGGCTGATGAGGTGATGTTGTTGGTATGGGATAGAATAAATATGATAGCAAGAAATGATCTTGGATCAGAAAATGTGCAACTGTATGGTTGATGTAAGAAATAACAAGGAGAAGAAGGTGTACATTTTCTACAGGGTCCCTAACAGTCAATATACTGTTAATCAGAGAATAAATCAAAAGATAATGAGGACATATGAAAATAGCCATACATTAATTATATATAACTTTAAACTTCGATTGGGAAAATCAAATTAGCAGAGGCAGCTATGAGCAGAACTCATAGAATATTTTTGAGATAGTTTCCTACAATGATATGTTGTGGATCCATGAAGGGATCAGGCTGTTTTGGATCTGGTAATGTGTAAGGAGTCAGGTTTAATAAATAATCACAGTGTAAATGATCTCCTAGGAAAAACTGACCATGACATGACAGAATTTAGAATTCAGATTGAGAATAAGAAACTTGGTTTGGAGACAGCTGTGCTAAACTTATTTTTTAACTTCATTCATGAGATATGGGTGTCTCTGGCTGGGCCAACATTTATTGCCCAGCCCTAGTTGCCCTCGAGAGGGTGATGGTAAACTGCCTGCTTAAACTGCTGCAGTCCATGCGCCACAGCTGTGGTGCTGTTAGAGAGGGAGTTCCAGGATTTTGACTCAGTGACACTGAAGGAAGGGTGATGTATTTCCAAGTCAGGATGATGACTGGCATGGGAGGGAACTTGCAAGTAGTGGTGTCCCATGTGCCTGCTACCCTTGTCTCTCTAGATGGAAGGGGCTGTGGTTTTGGAAGGTGTTGTCTAAGCAGCCTGAGTGACTCTCAGGTTGACTATCACCAGTTGTCTTTCTCTATTGAGACAGCAGCTATATGGATCGGGTAAAACTGTAATGACTTTACCTCGTTGGCTTAACATTTATCATAGGGAAAGTATTAGAATCTATTACAAAGACTGTAGTAGCAGAGCCTTTAGAAAAATGTAATATAATCAAGCAGGGTTCAGCATGGCTCCATGAAATTGAAATCATGCTGACAAAATTATTAGAATTCTTTCAGCAAAAATATTATTTCATTGGAGGCAGTTCAAAAAAAAGTTAACTGGTATGATCCATGGTATGGAGGGATTGTCTTATGAGCAATAGCTAAACAGGCTGCTCACTGGAGTTTAGAAGAATGACATGTGATTTCATTGAGGCATATTGGATTCTTAAAGAGGCTGGCTAGGGTAAATGCTGAGATGATGTTTCCCCTCATGGGAAAATCTTGGACCAGAGGGCATAGTGTCAGAATAAAAGGGTGCCAATTTAAGACTTAGATGTGGAGGAATTCCTTCTCTGAGAGCCTGGAGAGTCTTTGGAATTCCTTGCCCCAGAAAACTGTGAGAGTAGAGTCTTTGTGCATATTTATGGCTGAGATCGATAGATTCTTGATCAGTAGGGGAATCGAGGGTTATGGGGAAAGGCAGGAAAGTGGACGTGAGGAATGTCTGATCAGCCATGATCCTATTGAATGGTGCAGCACCTTTGAGGGGCCAAATGGCCCACTCCTGTTCTTATTTTGGTGGCAGCAGAATATATAAAGGGGAACCAGTAGATATAACATAATGGCATTCAATAAGGAACCACAATAAAGCTACTTTCTAAGATAAGGGGACTTAGTTTTGCAGGTAGCACATTAGCATGGATAAAGGCAAAAAAATACTGCAGATGCTGGAATCCAAGGTAGATAGACAGGAGGCTGGAAGAACACAGCAGGCCAGGCAGCATCTGGAGGAAAGGAGCAGCCAACGTTTTGGGTATTATGCTTCTTCAGGACTGGTAATAGCCGAAACGTTGACTGCTCCTTTCCTCCAGTTGCTGCCTGGCCTGCTGTGTTCTTCCAGCCTCCTGTTCGTTTAGCATGGATAAAGAATTGGCTAACTAATAGAAGACAGAGTTAGGATAAGGGAGGGATATTCAGGTTGTGTCTTCAGAACTAGTGGAGTGTCACAGGGATCAGTGCAGGGATCACAATTATGTTTATTATTGTTTTGAGACAATTGATGGAGAAATTTCAGAAAGATCAATGTAATATGGAGATTTTATTCCTTGATCTAGAGATGGCTTATGACTTGATGCTTCACAAGGAGGTCTGGAGATGTCCTAGAATTTGTCGAGTCCCTGAGAAATACTTACAATAACTATTCAATAAATGCAAGGAGTCCCAGATTTATAGTGAGAAATAGTGTGGGGGATTGTGACAATTTCACAGCCAAAGGTGGATTCCCTCAAGGATAAACACTAAGCTCCCTTCTTGTTCTGATTGTCTTGAATATTGTAACTACAGCAGGTGAGATGGGAAGTGACATATTCAATGATGTTTGTAGATGACATTGAGCGATGTGGTGGACTGATGAGAAAATGATCAAATATCTGGAGAACTAGAGACAAACACTGGAAGATGGGGTATGAAGATCAGTGAAACAAAGACCAATTCATAGATAGTCAGATTTAGAAAAGGGGCAAGTATCGTGTTGAAGATGTGAAGATTACAAGTGAAAGCATGGAGAAAAAGAATATTTTCAAGTTCCTGGGGTTAGCAGTGGCAGAAGATGGAAGTATGAAAAGAGAAATTTTCAATGGATTAGCTTTGTTTGGAGTATTTGGAAGAAATACAGTGGAATGTTACATGATAGAAAACTATTGCTGAAACTGAAAGGGAGAATCACAAGGCATCTCAGAGACTGACCTTGTTATATAGTGAAGAAGGCAATGTGAAGAAGACAAGAACAGTGATGGGATACCAATGAAAGGTAGGTGCTGAGATGGATATAGTGTGGAGAAAGGAGAAAGAACAAAATCAATATCTAGCACATCAGGAGAGTTAGAAACGTTGAAGAAAGTAACAGAGAAAGATGGGAGTGATTGGTCATCTGTTGTAGAGAGAGCGAGAGAGAAAATGTGGTGAGGTGAGTGTTGGAGATGGGACAGGCAAAAAGAAGGAAAAAGGCAATAGTTAAGATCAAGTGGTAGTGGCAAGAGTCTTCAACACACCAGGATTGGAGAGCAATGGGTACCTGATAGGAGTGATCAACCAGCATTGTGGTGAACCCATGTAAAATGGGAGAAGCCAAAAGAAGAAGAAATTTGTGTTTGTGGGCTTGTTATGTCAAATTGTAAGCAGTTTTGCAATATCTTAAGTAGCTGCTGTTCAATTTGCAAGGCAATCATTCGGAGGCAAGACTAACATTTCTTGCCCTTGTTTTTGCTCACCATGATTTGCAAGATTTTTAGCCCCAGATGTGAGAGTGCCCTACCATTTGTAGCTCTTCAGCATTCTATGGCCACATGCAGCAAGACCTAGACAATACCTTTTTTTGGATATTAAATAAGAATAGGTTCAGCTACCAAGCCACCATTGTGGAAAATGCGCATTGTTAAATGGCTTGCTAGCATCATATGGTACATAGACCAACACTCCAGAAGTTTAATGATACATACTAAAGCACCACTGTAATAGGTTCGGATGTTGCACATATTTTCCCTTTCTACACATGTGGACAAAACAAGTTGTTGTTCATTGCTGCTTATTCACTAGCAACGTTGGTTGCAAACAACATCAAAGTTCAGTGCAAGCAACATATGGAAACTTCTTCAAAATGAGGGATCTAGGGCTGGTGTGGGAATGTAGCACTGAGGTAGATGATCAGCCATGATCGAGAATAGTGAAGTAGGTTTGAGGGGCTGGATGCCCTACACCTGCTCCAATGTTCCTATATTCCCAGAAATTGCTGTCAATTAGGAATTGAAAGGAAGGGAGGGAGGAGGGCGGATTTCAGAAAAGTTACAACCGTTGTGGAAATGGCACTGAGAAAGTTGTTACAGCTGCAGGATAACAAGTCTCTGGCTCCTGACGGACTTTATCCTAAGGTCTTAAGAGACGTAGCTAATGAGGTGACTGATGCATTGATTTTAATTGTCCAAAATTTCCTGTTTCAAGGAAGGTGCCATTATGTTGGAAAATGGTGAAAGTAACTCCTTTATTCAAAAGGGGAGGGAGACAGAAACCAAGGCTCTACAGCCCACTTAACACTTGCCTAGGGAAGATATTAGAGGTTATTATTAAAGATGATATAACAGGACATTTAGAAAAATACAAGGTAATCAGTCAGAGTCAGCCTGATTTTTTGAAAGGGAAAACATGTTCAATCAATTTATTGGAGTTCTTTGAAGATGTAACATGCTGTTGTATAAAGAGAAACTGGTGGGTTTAAGACCATAAGACACAACAGCAGCAACAGGCTATTCAGCCCATCAATTCTGCTCTTACTGTCAGTGAGATCATGGCTGATCTGATAATCCTCACTTTCTCCATAACCCTTGATTCCCTTCCTGACTGAAAATCTGTGCATCTCAGCCTTAAATACACTAAAGGAACCAACTTGACAGCTCTTTGTGTTGAAGAATTTCACAGATTCACTGCCTTTGAGCAGAAGAATTTTTTCCTCATCTCTGGTTTAAATGGGCAACCCCTTATTCTGAGATTATGCCATTTGGTCTTAGATTCTCCCATAAGGGGAAACAACCTTTCTGCATCAAGCCCCCTAGGAATCTTAAATAAAAACGGAAACAACTGTGGATACTGTAAATTAGAAGCAAAAACAGAAATTGCTGGAAAAGCTCAGCAGGTCTGGCAGTATATGGGGCAGCAATGGCCTAGTGGTATTATCGCTGGGCTGTTAATCCAGAGACCCAGATAACATTCTGGGCACCCGGGTTCAAATCCCACCACAGCAGGTGGTGGAATTTGAACTCAATAAAATATCTGGAATCCATTGCTGATTGATGGAAAAACCCATCTGGTTCACTAATGTCCTTTAGGGAAGGAGACTGCTACCCTTACCTGGTCTGGCCTACATGTGACTCCAGACCCACAGCAATGTGGTTGACTCTGAACTGCTCTCTGGGCAGTTAGGGATGGGCAATAAATGCCAGCAATGCCCTCATCCTGTTAATGAATTTTAAAAAAAATCTGTGGAGAGAAACTTTTCTGAGGAAGGGTCACTCAACCCGAAATGTTAACTCTGATTTCTCTCTGCAGAGGCTACCAGACCTGTTGAGCTTTTCTAGCGATTTCTGTTTCTGTGCCTAAGAATCTTGTATGTTTCAATAAGATTACCTTACATTCTATTAAATTCCAATGAGTACAGGCCCATCCTACTCAATGTCACCCTATAGACACTTCCTCTATACCTGGTATCTAGTGAACCTTCTCTGGACTGTCTACAATGTCAGTATATCTTTTCTTAGACAAGGGGCCCAAAATTCACGTGCAGCATTCTCGGCTGTGATATGATTAACGCCTCGTATAGTTTTAGGAATACCTTCCTATTTTTATACTCCGTTCTCTTTGAAATGAAGGTAAACATTCTATTTACTGTATTTAAATTTTCAGAAGGCTTATTAAGTGCTACATCAAGGATTATTGTGGAAAATAAAGTAAAGGTATAGAGAGTGACAGAATAGAATAGAAGCTTGGCTTAATGATTCAAGTGCCACAGGGATAAATGCTGGAGTGTCAGTTTTAACCAATGTGTATAAATGCCTTTGATGAAGGAACTGAAAGTATGGTTGCAAAATGCAGTGATGTTGCAAAGGCTGGTAGGGAGGTAAATTGTGAAGAGGATATAAGGAGGTTAAGAAAAGATACAGAAAATCCAAGTGGGCAAAAATCTATCAAATGGACTACAATATAAGAAAATTGAAATTATCCATTTAGCAGAAAGAATGAATAAAGCATATTAATTGGTAAGGGATTGCAGAGCTCTGAGATGCAGAGGGATCTAAGTGTCGTGGTACATGAATCGCGAAAAGTTAGAATACAAATACAGGAAGTAATTAGAAAAGCAAACAGCATGTTTTTCCAAGGGGAATTGAGTACAAAAGTAGGGAGGTTATATAGCACATTATTGAGATCACATCTGGACTGCTGTGTATGGTATTGGTCTGCTTATTAAGGAAGGACATAACTGCATCGGACGTGGTTCGCTGAAGGGTTACTAGAGTAATACCTGCAATGGTAGTAGGAACTGCAGATACTGGAGAATCTGAGATAACAAGGTGTAGAGCTGGATGAACACAGCAGGCCAAGCAGCATCAGAGGAGCAGGAAAGCTGACGTTTCGGGCCTAGACCCTTCTTCAGAAAAT